ATCATAGCAACAACGCAGCTGCATTTAAACAATAACCAACGGTTCACCAAATGCGCAAATAAACACACACATATGTCTGTAAGCATGTATTTCTTAACTCATAAATAAACTAAAATAAAAGCAAAATTAAAATAAAAAAATCAAAGTATTTTGTTATGTGCCCATAAATTTAATTGTTCAACGACGGCAGTAGTAAATTCAATTAATTTAAAAATTTATCACAAAAACGTAGTACATACACGTGCAATTCCAACGGCACATACCCTGCAGGGAAAATGTACGTGCTTAGTGGGGCAGGTTGCAGGGGTAATACAAAAGTTTTTCTGTTCTGACGTTTTTAGTTGAATGAACCATAAAATGTCTACATACATATGTGTATATATAAACCAGCTGATCCGGAACAACACTTTTTTGCCGCAAAAGTTTTCAAGTTGGCAGCTAGCACCAATCAGAGCCAACACGATCAAAAGCATAATTCGCACGTAAGCAAACATAGAAATCGTATATGTTTTTCATAAATTACTAGACATAGAGATGGTAACTTTCGGGCTATCCATATACTGAACATTCATTTCCGAACGTCTAAAGTGATTTTCGATTGTGCTCTCCTGCGGGGGCGTTCCCACTTAAAAAAATGCAGACTTATTTAGGACCTAGGTTCGATCCGCGTCTACTTCGGCCATTAAAAAGTTTCTCTAAAACCATTTGTCGTTCGTAGATGGCGAAAAATAGTACGTCACTCCATTATTGTTATAACAAAAATTGAAATGCCGAATATTAATTTATTTTTCATATCTTTAACCGGCAGTGTGGGAAAAAAAAGCTTTCTTATCTGCAACTTAGTTTTTTATCCATTATCTTATGAATGGGAATGGAAATTTATCGATTTTTTTGGTAGTTAAATATAACCAAGCACGCCACACTTTAGATACTACTTACTAGTTAAGTTTTTTCCTATTAGTCCTATGGTAGCGACCTACCTTCACATCACAAGTTTAGATTTCTTTTTTCAAACTTTTGTTTACCGAAAACATTTCGTAGTTTCATAAGTAATTCGATTTTTTATGTGAATGGACATACAATGGGTCTTCAGAATTTGGCCCATTTGAGACTAGTTAAGGATACTCTGGGTTCATTTCGTGTCTAATGCAGGAACATTTATGAAGTAGTTCAGGATTATCTCGGCTCTAGTTCACGACTCGCTTACGACCATTTCACGCCTTTTTCGGGACCTTTTCTGGACTATTTCTGAACAATTTCGGGACTAGTTACCGACTATTTCAGGATGATTTTTGGACTAGCTCTGGATCATTGGAGACTAGCTCAGCACTATTTCCGTGTTCGGGTTCATTTCACGATCATTTCAGAACCATTTTGGCACTAATTCAGGACTATTTTAGGACATATCAGGACTAGTTCGTAATCATTTTGGGCCAAGTAAAAGACCATTTTCCGGCCGTTTCAAGACTTGTTCGAGATCCTTTAGAGACATGTTCACGACTTTTTCAGGACTACAAAAGGACCATTTTAGGATTATNTTGGCACTAATTCAGGACTATTTTAGGACATATCAGGACTAGTTCGTAATGATTTTGGGCCAAGTAAAAGACCATTTTCCGGCCGTTTCAAGACTTGTTCGAGATCCTTTAGAGACATGTTCACGACTTTTTCAGAACTACAAAAGGTCCATTTTAGGATTAGTTGGGGATCATGTTTGTAAGCAACTGAATCGCCCAGTGCTTTGCAAACTGTACAAAAATGTTTACATATCAAGTTTCATTTTTATTTTAGTAATTTTTTTTTAACTGCGGGGTGTTTAGTTATCGTCATCTGAATTCTCTGCAGGGTATTATGTAATACAAACATATGTACATAGTATGTTCTAAATTAAGCACACAATTTCAAATTGTCTTAAATTTTATCGTGTATATATACATACATACATATATACATATATATGTACAGCAATACGACCACAAATCGTACATACGTCCACTGGCTGCGTACACCTGCAATGCTAATAGGCCATCGGTTGTGCTCGTGTGCAATCGAGCCGAACGGCAGAAGCCCGTAACCACAGAATGCCACTCAAACGACATGACAAAATGGAAGTACAGAATAATTCAACTGCAACAGAAGGGGTTAAACCAAAACTACTAGATACTTCTAAATAAGATTTAAAGTAGTTCTCATGTTTCATGGTGCTGGAAATAGAAATTTCTACTTTGTCCAAACGGGTTTTCATAAATCATAATTATTTTCTCTTTAGTTGATTTATTTTTCGCAAAGGCTTTTTATCGAACTTAGCCAAACCCTTTGACTTTTGGCGGTCAGATTTAAGTTATTCTGGTTAATAAAATCACTGCCACTTGTTTATGAAGTTATTGCTTTTCTTTGAAAATATAGTTACTGCAATAGTTCAAGTGGAGAAAAAAATCAATGTTTCAAAGAAAGGTTTTCGTTGGATGAGTGCGTCGATAAACTTGTTTCTAATTTTGATGATGAAAAACCATCAAGGGTGTTTATAAAATGCATTAAAATGTGGTCATTCTTCGTTCCATGATGAATATCGAGAAGGTCGTGCAATATCGGGTTTTTGCGCCAGAAAGCATAGACGTTGTGTGCAATACGGCAATGGAAGATCATCGTGTTAAATATAGTGAGATTAAGGCGAATGCTGAAGACGAAAAACAGTGCAGTAGTAAACAAATGAATTTGTCCGAAAGTTACCATACTGCGATCGAATACGAAAATGAAGATATCGAGTATATTGTTAATTGCAAGTAATTTGTCTTCAGCTTCGTCTCCATCTTCAGATTTGCTTCCACTCTGTTTTTAACAGGGGCCAAAAATTACTATTTTCAATGAAAAAAATCTAATTTTTCAATATATCGTGGGCACTTTCGAGTGCACAAGGGTCATGTCGTGTATGAATATTTCGATTATTATTAATCGCTCAGAAAATACACATACAAAATTTTGGATATTAACACCTTCCTGGTTATCAGGTTATCTGGTTAAATATTATTATTATTAGTCTCTTGCGTATTTTGTTTTTGTAAACTGAGTTAAAAATTATAATCACACTAGCAGACCCGGCGAACCTCGCCCCGCCTAAAATTTTTTATTTTTTTATTGAAACTTCGTGGTCCAACATTTTCACCAAAAATTCACGTTTACGATTTTCATTGGCACATTCATCTGCCAAGATTATGGTTTGGTGGTCATTTGCCGCTTTAAATAACCTAGGGAAATTGTTATATCCGTGAAGAAGTTCTTGAAATTCTCCAACTGTGCAGCATTTAATGGCACGGTTATTCGCAAAACGAAATAAGTTTGAAATAAGTGTTCCTCTTCACTCCCTGGCGGCAACATTGACCCGGTTCAGTAGTGAATATGTCCTAGAAGCTTTTCAGTAAAGTTGGTGGCAAATTCAAATGGGTGCGAATCATTGTTCTACAAAAATGCAATATACATATCGTCGTTTAAAGTACAAAACCGCGTAACTGACATTGGCTGCCAAAAATTGGATTTGCTCACACAAGCTCTTGGCCCAATCCTTATCCATTCGTTCTGAAATATACTAGCCAGAAATGCGATTGCTTTATAAAAAAGAGGACCGTTTTGAAATATGGGTATTTTTACGCTCTAGAAAATAATTTATGCAACCTCACATACGGGGTTTTGCATTTCGTTGATACTCGGTTTTGCATTTTGTTGATACGCGGTTTTGCACTTTAAACGACGATATACTTATTTCAGACGAAATACCTTAAAAGCTAGAACGCATAATAATATTTGAAAATCACATCCATTGGGCGAATCGTAACACAGGTTTATATCAAGCGTCAAAAGGTGCGATAGCGATCCGAAAATTGTCGCTAACTGGTTACAGAATCTGACNGTTTTGCATTTTGTTGATACGCGGTTTTGCACTTTAAACGACGATATACTTATTTCAGACGAAATACCTTAAAAGCTAGAACGCATAATAATATTTGAAAATCACATCCATTGGGCGAATCGTAACACAGGTTTATATCAAGCGTCAAAAGGTGCGATAGCGATCCGAAAATTGTCGCTAACTGGTTACAGAATCTGACGCCTGAAGTACAAAATATCGCAAAGAAGTACATTTGACTGTACTTCGAAGTACTACGAAGTACAAGAGCGAAAAAAGAAGTACTGTACTTCCGAAAGAAGTACGGTTGCTCACATTAGTAGACTCACCGTATGCTGTCGAGGATTGAGCTTACGCAGCCCGCGAAACTTGAAAAGTCCCCTTACTTTTCGAACACACCTCGCGTATATCATTGTGCACATGAGTAGATAGATATACATATGTATGTATGTATACTACGAATGTACATATGCACAAAGACTTTTCCCTACAGTGCAATGGCCATACTTTCAATTTCACTCGTTAAATATTAATTAAGGCAATCTGGCCTATGGCCTCTTCTACAACTATAGGCACGATTCGTGTGCATTAGGGAGAACTTGTTTTTGACTACTGTATCCTAAGACTTAAAAAGGCGAATAGTATCTACGAGGAAGAAGCATCGGAAACCTATTCCTGTCAGTGGCGGACCTTAAACCAAACTAAACCTGCTACTGTCCTACCGATTACACATGCGACTATCATCAAAATATTTGAATATGCTCATAAGCTAAATAATGGCGGACAAAAATGTTTAGATTTGAAGCAACTCGGGGGTCCTTTTCCGAGGTAGTACTTAGATGCTTGTAGAATTTTCTTATAAATAAGCAATGATGTTCCCATTTTCGAATAAAAACCGGCAGCTAACTTAATCTACATATCTTTTCTGCAACACAAATCGACTCTTCTTAATGTACATATGTATGAGCTATTACGTCCCAACTGATTTGAAGTGTTAGTTAGCTGCACGCAAAATGCAATCAGAAATTAATAAATATTTTTATATGCCACTCGCTTTATGTGATTGTACGATTGCTTGATACTGCTGCTTCCTGCTAAACCGTTATAGCAATCTATACTCTTTTGATTAATTTGTTTTAAGTTAAAATACCAACCGTATTCATTTAGTTGCTTAGTATACTTTAGTTAGCTGACAAACGAGGCAATGCGCTTTCAGGCGTCATTTTGGTTTTTAATCCTTCCTTTGTGCCTTTCGCTACTACCTCAAACTATTGAGGCCAATGACTTTTCTTCATTTCTCACCGCGAATGCGTCTTTGGGTAATAAAAACATGTCCTTATCTAATTTGTATTAAAAATAATAATATAATTTGCATTTTATTATTTGCGTTCTCATAGCCGTCGTAGTGGATCAGGAATACATGCAACAAAGGGAAGAAAATATTTTAGCTAATTTTCAAAAAATACTCAGTGATATTATTCGTGAGAATTTAAGGAATGGCGGCATTGAGGTGAAATATTATTCTTGGAGTCAAGTAAGGTTGAAAAAAGGTAAGTGCACACATTATATACTGTAGGGACGCTAAATTTTGAGTCATGGATTACGTTTTTCTAGATTTGGTCATTTCCCAAGTTATTTTAATTTTATGTTTGCTTGCGAATGAAGAAAAATTCAAACGTTAGCCTTGAAAATGTTACTCATACGCCATGTAGGAGTAACTATAATTGATTACGGCCGTGTACGATATGTCGTACGAGTAACATTTTGTCCTGCTTCTATTTCACACAAAAAGTTATTGCAAATTTTTATTTGGCCATTCAAAAGTTGTTTATTTACCCATCGGTTTTCAATACTAGTAGCTTTTTGGCAAAAAACGGGGTTAATAGTTAAAGTTAAAGTTTGTTTTTTTTTTCATAAAGTGAAAATTTCTTGAGAAAATGACTTGATCTGGAAAAACGTTAACACATACATGATCTACGATTCACAATTAATTTTATCTATCTCGGAGCTTTTGTGTGTCATTTTCCCTACAGTGTTATTATTAACTTTTTGATATGTGGATAAGTAACGGTCGGTAGGTTAGCTTAGGAAGGCGCGTACGAATGGCTCATACTTCTACCCGGAAGCAGATTTGTTCAATGTTGATGTCCCTAGATTAGATTTGTAAGAGGATGTGCACTGAGACCTTAGGTCTATTGTGCCCTCAGAGCTCATCATAACACATCATCCAGCCTTAGTGCTCTGATGAATCCAGCAGTTTCTTTCGCAGGTGTGCTACCATTCTTCTCGCATCGCATTCTAAAAGGAAATGCCAAGGGTATCTGGTGTCGTATTGGCTTGCAGTCTGTAGTGCCCCGGTAGCATTCCTGTTATAAATCTCAGGTTAGTCTTTTGAAGGGGTATTAGTTCCCTCGATCTTTTGTGATTAGCATTAAAATCCGTATGCCTTTGTTGCCCGTGCCTCATACAAGCTGCAGTGTGTTGCTTTCTCCTAGGGTGTTTAGTCTCGCTACATATTCCCACACAATCGTGATTTAATGTTACATGAGGATATGACTTTTAATGCAGCCTGACTGTCGGTGCAGATGACAATGTGCTGCCTTCTTGATTGTCTCTGCAGAATTATTTCCGCACAATGATGCGATAAACCTCCGCTTGAAATATATTGGGGTAGTTCCCCAGGGAAATGGAGATCTTGTCCCTAGGGCCGAAAATCCCTGCTCCTATCCCCTCGTCAGTTTTTGAGCTATCTGTGATCGACCTTTGGGTGTGGACTCTGAAGGTCTTCTCTATGATTGTCTCATTCCTCTTCGCTTTACCTAGTTCGTCCCTGATTTCTATCTCAGAGATTGTCATAGTACCCATGTCATCTCTGTTGAGCTGGAAAATAGTGACCGCCAAAGCGGCGGCAACGTAACGCCCGCCTAAGGAGCGGCTCCAGCCACCGCCCAGAGAGCGGCACCAACAACCGCCCAAAGAGCGGCACCAACAACCGCCCAAGGAGCAGCACCCACAACCGCCCAAAGAGCTGCAAACCAGCGACCGCCCAGGGAGCGACGACCCATTGACCGCTTAAGGAGGGCAACCAAGCGACCTCCCAGGGAGCGGCACCCACAACCGGCCAAAGAGCGGCAACCCAGCGACCACCCAGGGTGCGGCACCAACAACCGCCCAAAGAGCGGCGACCCAGTGACCGCACAAAGAGCGGCAAGCCAGGACCGCCTAAGGAGCGGCAATTCCGTGACCGCAAGGAGCGGCAACTCAGCAACCGTGGTGAGCACCCGGGTCAAACCATTGACCACATCAGCAACGAAAACAACAACCAACAACATCACCAACCTGGGTAAACACCCGGGGCAACCCAACGGCGACAACAAAAACAACTCCAGCAACGACTACAACAACAACAGCAGTGCCACCCACAAGCCTGCTGCAATGGTGGGTGAGTTCCTATGAAAATACAAACCCACATATTAGGGTGGTAGAGAAAAAAATAAAAATAAAACTTTTAAGATTAAAAAATAAATTAAAAAAAATTTAAATTTCGCGAAAATTTAACTAAAATAGTTTTGAATAAATAAACATTTAGAAATAAAAAAAGGGATGGCCACAATAATAATATAATAAGAATATAAATAATTAAAATAAAATCGTGAAAATATAAAACGGAAACCAAAACGCTATACAAACAAAAGATAAAAGAAGAAGAAAATAATAGAAAATTAAAAGAAAATATTTTAAATACCTTAAAACGAAAATAAAACCCGAACCTAAACTTAACTAGGCTTAACTTAGTTTACTTACCCAAATTATATTGAGTTCACTTACCTGACCTACCTTAACCGACTTATCCTAAATATGCGAACTTAATTAGACTTACCTTTACTTACCGGATATACTCATACCTTAAATACTTACCTTGCTTTAGTTTTCTTTTATATAATTACCTTAGACGTAATCACTTTAGATTTAAGAATACTGCCTTTTTCTTTGATAATGGTGCTGCTGATATTAGGGTACGCCAGCCGCCACGGATGACGGTGGGTCAGCACCAGAGGCCACACTTGCACCAGTGGTCCCCAACCATATTCGGCCTTAGGTGTTTGTTTTTGTTCATTTCCTTTTATTTCAGAGTTTTAGTTTGGTTTCTTGTGCTTTTCAGTTTATTTTAAATATTTAAATTTGGGGTTTCGTTTTTTTTTAGCTTTTTTTGTGTTGTTAACGGATTTTTTTTAATTTTTAAATTTTTGAATTGTTGTGTGTCCGTCCGTTGGGATGTTTTACAGCCATAACTTTTCTCTGCTATGGCTCCGGGAACAGTAGTGAAGCGAGAATCCCGCCCAGTCGACATGACTATCCACAGTGCACCCCATTGTGTCATGCCGCCTGCACTCACTACTGTTCTCAACATATGCGCACCTTAACACATTTATTCCTACTTTAAACTTCCCGGCATTACATTTTGATTTAACTTTTTAAACATTTCAGATTTTATCGCTGCGATGACGGTAATGGATTGCAAAAGTACTTGGAGGTTCTACGAGTACACACAGCAGACTGCCATACTACTGATTGCTATAACAGATGCCAATTGTCCACGGCTACCACTCAACCGCGCGATTATGGTATAGGGACAAAAATATGGCTGTACACATTAACATGTAAAAGACAAATCGTTTGAGTATCTCTTTTCAGATTCCTATAGTCGATGAAGGCCAGGAGTTGTCGCAGATTATTTTTGACATAAAAGTACAACGAATATTACGTTGGAAAACTGCCGCTATGCTGCTCGACCAAACCATTTGTAAGAAAGAAAAATTTCCAAGTCCATTATAACCGTACATGCGTATCTTTCGTTTCCTCTCTTTCGTTCAACACCAGTAAATGATAATCCAACACTCGTGGAGTCGGTGGTTCATGAAAGCGCTAAAAATCACATAACACCCTTCTCACTAGTACTCTATAAGATTGACGACACGCTGCGTAGCCAAAAGAAGCGCACCGCCATACGCCAAACATTGGCCAACTTTCTGGACAACGCACGTACGGCACGCCAATTTATTGTACTTTCGAAATTCTATGAAGACTTTGTGGAAATTGCTGCTAGTATGGATTTGTTTGGTGTCTTTAACCAATGGGTCTTCTTTGTTTTGAACGAGGAACAGCGTAACTACGACGCCATGTCTATTACGCAAAATCTGGGCGAGGGTGCGAATATAGCATTCATATTGAACTCAACTGTACCGTCGTGTGTTAGCTCTATAAATTGTACGATCTCCGAATTATCAATGGCATTTGTTACATCGATTTCTCGTATGATTGTCGAAGAGCAATCGATCTATGGTGAAATTTCGGATGAAGAATGGGAAGCAATAAGATTTACCAAACAGGAGAAGCAGGAAGAAATACTGGGTTATATGAAGGTGGGAATGTTATGTGGCAAAGGGTTGATGGATTTAAAGAGATAACGGTTTTTTAATACATGCCCGATCACAGGATTATCTAAGAGCGAATAGCAAATGCAGCAGCTGTTCGCATTGGAAAATCGAAACGGCATTAACTTGGGGAAAAAGTGAGGAGCATCAAAGATATCTATCGAATATGGGTGAGTACCTATGATAGCTAAGACACAATGCAAAGCGATATGTTTCACGAGACCGGAGTCGGAAAATGCGTGATTCGGTTTGATAGATGTGTGTATGGTATCCATTACTGTAGCTATAGCAAGTTTAACGGTGAACGTAAGTATTACATTGGGGTGAGCTAGTTTGCTAGAATCTGCGAGTAGTATCTTGGATTAGTTCTCGAGACTGTTAGCTGCTATGCAATGACAACACACTGGAACGCATCAGAAAACCACCACAGCGCTTCTCACATGTAAAAAGGCGATCGGAATATCGTGGGGCTTCACACCTAGTATAGCTCACTGGATCTACACGGCCATCGTTCGTCCGATTTTTCTCTACTAAGCCCTACCGGAAGTAAGGCAACAACGGTTAAACAATTTTAAACGGTACGAAAGAGTGCTGAGAGCTCTATTATCTTCCCCCACCGAAGCCCTGAAAGCGCTTACTACCGAATGCCCTCAAATACCTTCACCCAAAACCAAAAAAAATTGTGTACCAACTTGACTGGACTGAAACACCAGACGCCACCACATACGCAATGTTATAAACATTTATACTGATGCCTCCAAACACGACGTAAAGTTCGTGGGAGGAAACATCTTTTCGGCTTCTTCATCACTGAGTGTATACAAGGTACTGGCTATTAAGGAGGCCACTCGGCACCTACTAAGAGGACCTAAGAAGAAAAAGCAGGTATTCGTTGACAGTCAAGTATCACTGAAAACTCTAAGCTGATGCGTAGACAAAGCAAAGTCGTTAAAACACGCACGTTTGTACCTACTTTAGGCTTAAGGCGGTCAGGGGTATCTATTCTCACAAGAATCCTTACGGGTCACTTGGAGATAGGTATTGAACGCGCCAGACTATTCCCGCAGCTGCAGATGTACCAAGTACGATACGACTACAGACGCAACTTGCAGCGGAAATCAACATAAGAACATTATCGAAGTTCTTTGCGTCAACAAAATCGTTAGATCCCGGTAAGCATCGCAACATCATAAGAAAATGGAGATTACATATGACATCACAATAAGGCTTTCCTTAGNGACTATTCCCGCAGCTGCAGATGTACCAAGTACGATACGACTACAGACGCTCGAAAAGCCCTCCCTTCAATAACTTGCAGCGGAAATCAACATAAGAACATTATCGAAGTTCTTTGCGTCAACAAAATCGTTAGATCCCGGTAATCATCGCAACGTCATAAGGAAACGGAGATTACATATGACTTCACAATAAGGCTTTCTTTAGCCCTAAGTGTAGGGGGAGTCACTCTCCCTAGCCATTTCAACTTAACCTTACCTACGCGAGCCGCTGTGGCTGAGTGGTTAGAAGTACGTAATACCACTCCGTAAGACCTGACTTCTAACAGCCGTCGACCCTCGGCAGACAATGGCAAACCTTCGAGTGCATTGGTACCATTATAAGGCTTCTCGTAAAATCCATTTGTCGTTTATAGGTGGCATAAAACTGTAGGTCCCCGTTTTGTGTAACAACATCAACACGTACACTACATATTGGAGGAGAAGCTCGGCCAAATACCTGAGCGATATCGGGGAAAGAGAAGAGACAAGATACGTCTATAAAAAGATTAAAACTAGATGCAGAAAGACGGCTTGAGTGGTGGCAGACAGAATTGTGGCTCGAAAATTCTACCAGAAACCAATTCAGAAATTAAATGGTTTTAAGGCTGCGCCTAGTCTTTGTAGACAAAGAAGAATGAGAGGAAGAGAAAAGCAGAAGTTATTCTGGGTGAGTTGTTCAAAGTTGGTGGCGAAGAGGGGGTGTGCACATGCACAGGCTGTTAAGAAAAATTTGTTCTGGTGAAGACATGCCCGAAGATTGTATTCTCAATGATCACAAGGTCCTGTCCACGATACAGTGTGAAAAAAAACTTTTCGAACTCGCGCGAGTTGTACATTCCGAGTGCAGGCAGATCCTTCTGCACTTGGTCCTTCCATTTTGTTCGTGGGCGTCCTTGCTTTCGTTGTGCAGTAATCAAAATGTTTTGGGGCAACGTGGGAGTATACGTGTTTTCGAATATCCGAACATTCATTTATGCTGATAGAATCCGTTCATTTTGTTATCCGGAAATTCGAATTTTTAATTAGATATTCGAATATCCTGATTATTCGGATATTAAAAAAATTCGAATACTACTCCCAGCTTTAAAGGTTCAATTAGTCTAGACTTTACTTAACTTACGTACGTTACGTAGCCAGAAATGGAAATGTTTTGTTTTTGTATTTTCCTATTCAGCTGTTTGTCAATTAAACGGGTGAAATCCAGATATCCGGTTAATATCTTTTCATTTTTATCCGTGTAAAATAAATAATAGAAACTTCATCAATACATAAACAATCGTTATTTTATTGTTTATCTTTGCGGATTGTGTTCAGATACTCAGAAAATCCGGATAGTATGTATGATCTTAGTTTAAACCAGCCAGATCGGGCGTTTAAACTTAGTTTAAACCACGGCCGTGCACTAAAAAAATGGCCCTAAGAAATCGCCACATGGGAGAAAGGCAGTCCTATTGAACTTTGACTACTGGATTAAAACACTGTATAGGTTAAGCACACGTTCAATGTGCACATAATTTATCAATTCGTCGGAATATTTTTTTTTTTGTATGTATGTTACCGCATAACTTTGGACCACGTCAACCGATTTTGAAAATTCTTTTTGCATCGGAAAGGTAGTGTCTCAGAGGTGGTGTTATACTAATCTGGTTTAGATCCGATCAATGAATCATGAAAAAGTTAACGGTACTCCTAAGTTTTTATATGAGAATTGAAGTCGGTTTTGTTCTTTGCTTAAAAATTACTTATTAAGTAATAAGAACGATGACTTAATTTGATAGCCTTTTTAATTTTATTCCTAATATATATAAATATATATTCGGATAATCCCTAATGCATACCTACATACATATGTAGATTTGATTTCCGTTTACGTTTTTACAGATCTTAGCGATACGCGCAATAAAAATTTTGAGTTCATAGATGTTGGCTACTGGACGCCTATTTTGGGTTTCATCACGCATGAAATTATGTTTCCACACATAGAGCATTTCTTTCGCAATATCACATTGAATGTTCTCACGGTGCATGTAGGTCAAAATTCTATACCTGGTATATATATATATTTTTTTTTTATTTACCTTCCTTTAAGAGTCCACCATGGCAGATTCTAGAACGTGATAATCGTGGCGATATCGTAAAGCACAGCGGCATTGTTATAGAAATCCTTAAAGAAATGAGCCGTATGCTTAATTTTTCCTACAATCTGCAAGAAATTAAAGTAACAGCCATAGATTTAGTTGCCGATGATGTCCAGCAGGTTGGAAATATAACGGTATGAGAACCCTTTGTATTTAATGATGGCATTCCCTTTGAAGGTTACATTTAATTTGTTACTTCTTAACGCAGGATGATCTACTAGGTTCTTTGACCTTCAATATACCGCATCAAGTGATTGAAACGATGCAGTCAAGTCGTGTAAGTAATAACAACCTGTGTACATCTCAAAAGACCTCACAAAAATTAAAAATCTCTTCTTAACTATATACAGTACTTTATGGCCGCTTTAGCTGCCACTATTGATGAGCCAGAAAAGAAGTCATTTAACTACACAGTGCCCATAAGCGTTCAACCATATACGTTCATTTCTCGACAGCCAGATGAAGTGAGTCGCATATATCTCTTCACTGCACCTTTTACGCTCGAGGTGAGTGAAGCATATACATATATCATAAGCGTATATGAGGCATTCATTTACATATCGGACACCAAATTTGGTTTCACACTTTCGATTGGCTTAAAATTTGTGTATGGGTTCTATACATGAAATAAGCTAACACGTGTTCGAGGAACTTTTTTTCGCTTTTTTCTTTGGAGATATGATCTGCCAAAGTTTGAACTTCTTCAAGTCGTTATATCTCGGGTTCTGCTGATCATAGAGACTTCATCTTGACGTCATTTTAAAGCAAAGAAACGGGCTTTACATTTCTATATATAAGATGGTTAAGATTGTCCTAAAGCTAACTTAGCTATTAGCAGTTGAACTTTTTGAAGTTGATTTGCATAGTGAAGACCAGTAAATTAGGGATTTAAAATTATACCATCGCAATCCTTGTTTAACTCTCTATTAAAAAAAAGTGGTTCAAAAAAATGGGGGTTTTTCAAGAACTATTTTTAAAATATGTTTCTTTATAACGAAATGGTTTATTGTGTGAGAATCAACAATTGAAATTTGTTTTCCAAAACTTATGTTGAGATATATGTATTTAGTAAGGAGTTAAACATCGAGTTTTTGCAAGAACTTAAATTTTATTGCAGATTCCGATAGAATACCTATCCAAGTATATTTGTACGGCAAGATTTTTCTTAAAGGCGACAAACCCCTAAAAATGGGCGTGGAAATTGTATGACTAAAGTTTGCAAAACGCAGATTTTGTTGCGGATTTCGGCAGAATATCGCTTCGTTAACAACATTTGTTCCACAACTTATTCAATCAAATAATATTCTAGAAATTGGCGTGGCTGTATTAAAACCAAAGCTCAAAAATTTTGACTTTATTGTGGATTTCGGCAGAATATCTATATGGTCCACAATTGACACGCCCATTTCTAGGGGTTTGTCGCCTTAAAGAAAAATCTTTCCATACAAATATTATACCTGGATATGTATTCCATCTTAATCTGCAATAAAATAAATATATCTCAACATCAGTTTTCGAGAACAAATTACAAAAAATTGTTGATTCTCACAAAAAAAAAAACATCTTATCATAATAAAAAATTATTTTAAAAATGGTGTTTGAAAACCCCCCAATATTTTTAAACATGTGTATTATAGAGAATTACGATAGTATAATTCTAAATCCCTAATTTACTGGTCTTCACAAATCATCTTCAAAAAGTTGAACTGACTTTATTGTGGATAGCTATGTTGCTTTGGGACAATCTTGACTACCCACAAAAAAAATGAAGCGATTCGGAGACATGACATAATTTTTTTTACGAAATCCATCCGACTTATACAAGACAAAAAGATTTTTTATATTCATTTTAGATTTGGGGCTGTCTAGTGGCAATCATCATTATTACCGCGCCTGTTCTATATTTCATAAATCGCTTGGTGCCCATGGATCATTTGCGCATTACTGGACTTAGCACACTTAAAAGTTGTTTTTGGTATATCTATGGAGCGCTGCTACAGCAAGGTAGAATGCCTTGATAGCCCATCGTAGATCATCAAGAAATTCACACTTTTATTTCTTACTTTGCAAGGCGGCATGTACCTACCCAAAGCGGATAGTGGTCGCCTAGTGATCGGTGTATGGTGGATTGTTGTAATTGTTCTAGTCACAACATACAGCGGAAACTTGGTTGCCTTTCTGACTTTTCCACAGTTTCAGCCAGGTATAGATTATTTTTTCCAAATATTTGCATCTAGAGACATTCAACAGTTTGGTTTGCGGAACGGTTCCTACTTCGAAAAATATTCAACGGTAAGCATACAACAAAAAATACATATCGTCGTTTAAAGTACAAAACCGCGTACCAACAAAATGCAAAACCGCGTATGTGAATTATGTAAATTATTTTCTAGAGAGTAAACACACTCATATTTCAAAATGGTTTTTTTTTTTATAAAGCAATCGCATATCTTGCCAGCACGAATGGATAAGGATTGAGCCAAGAGCTTGTGTGAGCAAATCCAAGTTTTGGCAGCTAATGCCAGTTACGCGGTCTTGCAGAATGACGATACGCAGTTTTGTACTTTAACCGACGATATACGTTTCTAAAAGACCGCTAATTTAAAATACCATTAGATATCAACCCGCGACAATTTCCGCGATTTTGTGCAACGTGCGATAATATACAATAATCTTCAAGGCGAGGATATTGGCGCTGTGCAGCAAGGTAAACGCGTAAACGTGGATTGGCGTATCAACCTTCAATTGATTATACAGAGACAGTTCGAGAAAGATAAGGAATGCAAGTTTTCATTGGGACGGGAAACTTTTGTAGATGAACAGATTGGATTACTGGTGCCAAGAGATAGTCCTTACTTACAGTTAATCAACGATCAAATAACGCGCATGTTTCAAATGGGTTTTATTGAACGTTGGCATCAGATTAATTTACCTTCTATGGACAAATGTAATGGTCATGGCGGAATGCGCCAAATTACGAATCATAAAGTTAATTTGGATGATATGCAAGGCTGCTTCATGGTTTTGTTGTTTGGTATGATGAATTTCCGAACTGACTTCGTTTTACTAATATAATTTTTTTTACAGGTTTCATGATAGCTTTGTTTATATTATTCTGCGAGTACTGGTATCGCTGGTACTTTGTAGAAAAAAAGAAAGCCGACTTTGCTTACTAAAATGTAAAACATTACAATATGCAATTAATAATAAATAAATTGTCCTTGAAAAAACTAGTGAGTAATTTTATAGTAAGCAGCGAAAATTAGTTGGCTATATTACTTTAATATAATTTTGCGAAAATCAATGTTATTTTACACGTAAAAAAGCAGAAGCCCACAAGAAACAATTAGCTTAGTTGGAGTTGGCATTGGGGCCTCGGCGACGACCGAAGCCTTGAACAACGTTCACGAAACGACGGTTGTATTGGATTCTCCTCTTTGCACGGCCAGTCTTCTTCTTCTTCTTTTCCTGTTTCTCCACCTTGGGCGTCTGTCCCTTAACTTTACCGGCACGCGCCAAAGAACCGTGCACTTTACCACCCAACATTGGCACAGTGATATCCAACTCGAATGAGGCCAAAGATGTCACAGCGGCATCATTGCAGAGGGCATTACCCTCACAATTCAATGCGATATCTTCGGTATTCAAGCCATAAACTTGTGCGATTTGTGTCTGGAATCAAATAAGTAAAATTAGCGTTTTTGGTAAATGTATAAAGTTGGGTTAGAAATGGTAGCACTTGTCATTGTTGACCAGTCATCAATAAACCAATCATATTTGGACTAATAGTTACTCACCTTTACATCGCCAACAGTGGCAGTAGTCAGCACCTCGAAAGGTTCAACAGTTTCAAAACCACGAACAAACAACTGCATTTT